GTCATGTTAGAATTTTAATCTATCGAATGTGGGCTATTCGATTCAGCTACGTGTTTGTATTTTGCCTTTGATACGGTAGGTCACACATTGCTGCGAATGCACTCAGTTACCAACAACTTTGTGAAAACCTGACCTAAACTAATCTTTTCTTACTCCCTTTCGGTTTATTTTCTTGTTTCAGCATTATTAATTTGGGAAAAATTCAGAATCGAACCTAGTCTCAGAACCAAGCGAAAGCGGGAGCGATAAAGAAATAGGTATGTTTTGATGTGTTTGCTAAGGTAACTGATTGCAGTGTTGATATGGACTTGCTGGGAGTTTACTAAAGTCCCAAAAAAACAAGAAACAGATCTTCTTCCAAGTCTTTTCTATCTCAATGTTTCAGCCAACGTACAGGTTGGAAAAAAACACATGCTCGTTACTCCATCTGTTAAAACAAACATCGATCGTAAAAATTGTCTGTAGCCTACAGAGGGGTAATTCCATGGAACCTATTATCGGGAGCGGGAGAGTGTCTCAAAGTAGTGTTCCTGGGGAGTTTTATTAAAAGGGTTTAGGAGTCGAACAGAATTAAGCATACTTAATGATTTTAGTAATCTGTATTTGAAGAATTTTTGCATCAGGTTTTAACCGTTTCATCGTCGAAACATCTGTAAAATTTTTTTAAAGATTCAATCTAAATGTTCATATATTTCCGACTTCCAATTTAGGCTTTCATCCAAAATTACTCCTAGAAAATTTGTCTCCTTCATCTCGAACAAAATGTTCATTATCAATACTTATATGAAAATCGCAGTTCGTAAGTTTTTTACTTGGTGTGAATGCCATAAATTTAAATTTTTTAGGGAACGTTTTTTTTTAATTTGCTATAAACGAGACTGACAGTTTGCCCATCTCCAAATTTACATATCTGAATGATAGTCTGGATCTTTTTTGTGACATGAATCGTCGGCGAACACAATATCAAATTTAATAAACTAGAAGCATTGTTAATATCGTCAATGTGAAATGAGAAAAGAAGTAAAAGAGAGTGGAAGTCTGAGGGACACCACAAGAGATTTCATTTGCGCGAGGATGATTTTTGGCGTCTTGAGTAGGCAAGCCTTTTTGGACTATTAAGTCGACAAAATAATAAGACAGATAAAATTGCGTTAAATTAGACCCTAACCGATGTGAGTAGAACGGGGTGCTGTCATTTACAGTGCAAGCCAGTAATATACGCGTAATACGCGTCAGGACAGACGAGTCAATTGCGTCATGCTGGATGCGTCGACGCGCCTGAGCTGACGAACCGACTCGTCTGCTCTGAAATGTGTCAGTGGGCATTAAGATTCATTAGTATGTATTAGCTAGGCTTTTGTACATTATGCTTTTGCTTCCCTACTAAAACGCTCCACCTTAATGCTCCTTTTTTCCCACTAAAATGCTCGGTCTCCCCAAAAAAGTCACTAAAATGCTCGGATAATGCTCATTGTACAAACGATTTTTTAAAATTAATTTCAAAGTTTACACTTACAAAAACGTGCAAGTGTTGCAAGTAACAACGACAACGTGTACAAGTTCATAAATACAGCCAAAAGACCCAGCTTTATTAGGTTTTTTGTGAATTTTGGATTTTAGTCTTCATTTTGTTTAAAAAAGCAGGAGCTCATGGGGCATGGGCTCCTGAAAAAAGTTAATTTCTACTTTATTTTCTCGGAAAAATTAATTTTCCAGAGAAAATGCCACTAAAATGCTCGAATAATGCTCAATGCTTTTGCCTCACTAAAATGCTCGAAAAAATGCTAGCATAATGTACAAAAGCCTAGTATTAGCTCTTTGTTTAGAAATGTTGTGTGTCGGTGAATGGCGCAAGCTAAGGAAAAATAATAAATGCAAAACGCCAAGTGCAACTTTTCGCTACATGTATTTCGATGACATATTTCACGAATCGAGAAAACGCTCACGTTTCACACAATCCAAACCAAGCTAACGTACTAATAATGCGGAAGAAAACGTCCCTTACAAAATTATGTTAAGTTTGAGTTGAAGGAACTTCACAACATGACAATCGTCATAAAAAATTGAACCTCCTATCGGCAGGTGCTCGCGTAAACAAAAATTTCCTTGTGATGACCAAATTCGCATCGATGGCATTGACATAGATAGCGAGACTTAAAACAAAAAACGCCTAACAAATCTTGAGGTACAATCCTTGGCGTTATCAAAAATCAGCAAGGTACGCCCTCGAAATTAAATTCGCCGGGACTGAATCGAAATTTTCGTCGCTTTTTAGAAACATTTTCTTTCACAATGCCATCGACATCATCACTCTTTACTATTAGTCTCGGTGGCAAGCGCTTAATAGAAAATTCTTTTCCGGTAATAATCGCCATCAGCGGGAAAAGCGTACGCATTCATTCCTTCGTACGCAAATTTATTTTTGTTGATTTTGTCGCGTCTGTATTTTTTTTAGCACTGTGATAGACATCGGTGAAACTTGATCCTTGTGGAACTTCGTTGCCCAGCACGTTACTGAAGTTTTATACTCCAATATACTAAAGTTGACTTGTAAAGTCCGCATGTTTTTGCACTTTTCTAACCAGTGTGTGATATGTAGACTTCGTCTGCTCGAAGTGTGGTGATGAGAAAGCAAGAATGAGCCTCTAGAGCCTCTGAGCTGCCGTTTCCATAGGATCAATTCAAAAACATTTTTACTTTGACATTTCTTCGCTCACACTCGACACTCGAGAGTTGCCTTAGATGTAAATGTATAAAAGCTTGATTTAAAGTTAAGTGGGATCACGGCTTAACTATGTGTGTGGCTAATTTGAACTGTTGATTCTCTCGTATTTGGAATTTATTTCATTTCGTGCGGGTTTTGTCGCTGTTTAAATTTTCAGCTCTTAAGGAACGGTTTGTTTTCATCAGGTGCATTAACTTAGAATTGCTATTACATGTAGAAGTAGGATGCCAAACGATTTTACAAACGAAACCCTGCAGGTCACTAAATTTAGCTTGATTAATAACGGCTAAAGCCCTCATGAAAAGTTCCTTAGAATGAGCGACTATCGAGCTTCTTCAAACCCAAGAATTTGTTTTGATTTTTACAACAATTCACCACAAAGCAAAGCTGTCACAGTGAATAACAAAAGAAAAATCTTTTCCTTCCTGACGCGTCCGAGCTGACGCAGACGCTCGTCAGCGCCGACGAGTACCGTCGTCCGAGCTAACGCGTCCATGGCATGCTGCACATTGATGGTTTTCATAGTGACGTCATCAAATTACAAAGTAAAAAAAGCAAGGTTTTACGATTTCTTATTTACATTAGGTTGAAGTTAAATAGAAAATAAATCTTTGTACAAGTTTCCAGCCCCGAAGCATGTTTCATTTCGAAAATACAGCAATTTTCACAGTGCGTGACACCAAAATAGGAATCCTGTCTCATTGAAAAAAGTCTCTCCTTTTGATTTTCAGCAGTTTAACCATTTCAAGTATTGAAAGATGTGTTTATGGGCAAGTATGCTAGCTCTCGAGTGAAAAGGAAGAGCTTTTATACAAAAAGTGAACTCCACATGTTTCTGTTGATTTCCGGCGGCCATATTGGTGGACAGTTTCTGTCCACCAGTATGGCGTCTCCATACAAAGCTTTACAAAGGTGCGTGAAATGTTTCGGCAAATAACTCAGAAACTGTGGGCCAGAAAGACCTGAGATTTGGGCAAATTGTTTATATATTAGTCTTTTATAACATTTCGTTTTCTTGGCTTCTTCCACTGGACGGTTTCCAATTTAACTTTTTGTACCGTGTTTATTGCGTGACAGTGAAAAGGAAGGATTGCGTCAGTTTCACGTATGCGTTGTTCGCTTAGTTCTGGTCTGCACTGTACATCGAGTCACCATAACTTCCTCAAAAACTCAAAAGACTCAAACGTCTTCGGTTCACACTTTTACAGGATTCTTATACCAATCTCACATTTTATTTAATGTTATTTTGTGCGAAATTTTCTGTAGTTTGAAATAGATTTCTTTGCTTGCATTCACCGGATTGCGTAGCTTTTATACAAAATAATTATTGAGCCTCAACCTTGGCAGGCGGGTTTGTTTTCGTCATGAAAGACATGTATTGTGTTAAAAGCCTGTAAAAAGAGTTGTGCTCAAAAATACTTCCTGACATTAAATCGATTAGGAGCAAAAAGGCTGGTAGCGCTAATGCCGTTTACACCAAAAGCTGGAAAGCGACAAACTGAGTAGACACTTCAGTAAAATCTTATAGTAGAGATGTGTGTCGAAAAGCTTCATACATTTTAAGCCTAACCGTATTTAATTTTATAAGAAATTTGAACAAAGTGTTGTTATTTTAAGAACGGGTTGAAGTGCAATGATTTATTCTATAGAATCACGGTAACAGAAATCAACACAACTGTAGCAATAAGCTTTTACCGCGAAATTAATCCATACTGCTGTAACCACAATTTCTAACAGTCAGAATGTTCTCATAATTCTGAAAATGTGAAACTCCAGTATGGTTACTATTGTAGCCAGACAAGCAGTTAAACTGCGACCCATCCAGCGCCTCATCCCCATTAGCTTATTACAAAAAGCTAGGGAGTACAACTTCGTCTCCAGGACTTTTTCCGTGACGTTGTAGGGAGTACGCCCTGAAATTAGCTGGGAAAACACGTGTATTTTATGCCCTAAGTTGGGGTTTTTTTTTTGAAACAAATCCTCACATCAGGCTGACATTGGATAGTTTTTAGAACCATCAAGTATAGCAACGATCATACGACGATCATACGATGATTATACCATGATCACAATAGTGAGTCAATATTGTCGTTGTTGTGACTAAATGTTGATTTTAAGATCTTAATAAAAACCATTAGCCCTTTTTTTTGCTACTCATGATAGATGTAATCGAAGAAAGAATCATGCATCGATTTTCTGAACCGTGGGAAGATAGCGACCTAATTCTTGTGGTGGAGGATGAAAAGTTTCATGTTCATCGCCTGATATACTGAGCATGAACTCACCAGTTTTCAAGGCGATGTTTAAAGAGCAGTATAAAGAGGCCACCGCCAACGAGATTCCACTGCCTGAGAAGAAAGCAAATGAAGTATTAGACCTCTTGAAGCATGTTTACTCCAAGAATTTTTTTAAAGAGCCCGTGGAAATCACTAGTAAGGCATCGCATTTTCTTTGTGTTGTACTAAAGAACAAGAAGTGACGTAGTATGTAGAGTGTTCAGGGCGTGATTGTTTAGTTCCACTATTTTTAGGGTCTTTACTATGAAATGACAACATTTCAATGCACATCATCGTCACACAGATATATACTTTATCCAGTACTATAAATTAAGAAGCTCATTTCACATCTTCAGCTTTTGTGAACAGAACCTCTATCCGGTATATGTGTGTGAACATAGCCTAAATCCCCAAGGAGTCAATGAACTGTTCATTTAACAATTTCTTTCCTTATCTTTCATTTTACCCGTAAAATCTTCCCACCTATAGTATCGCTCAGGAGTTCGATTAATGAACCCTACACACAACCTACAATCCCGTACAAGCCTTGGTTGTCCCTGACGAAGGGTTAGAGCTCAACAAGTGAGCTATTCAATCTTTCTACGGGGGTTAATTCTCAAAATTCATTTTGATCAACTCAGTAAACAACATCATATTTTCGCCTTGAAGAAGCGTTAGAAAACAAATAACATTTCACTACGCCACCACTGGTTTCCCGACGAAACCCGCCAGCCCCATTCAAGTGTTTCTATAAAACTGTTATAAATAATAAAATGTGTGGTTATTAAATTTTATAAAATAACTGAGATAGTCCGCGTGATCTGATTGGTCAAAAACCTATGGTTTATTATACCGGTAAACCCATAGAAAAAGGCATCTGGACCACGAGCCATAAACAAAACCGGCTATTGATCTGCAAACAATGATTTTAGAAAGGCTAAAAAACAGAACAAGTTATATTTTTTACCCAGCCCTTCTTAATGTCAAAAGCATTGGTTTCCACATTTTATTACTGCCATAGCTTTAGAACTAATAAAGCACAAAGCTGGAAAGCAGTTTACATTTCACGACGATGCCAAATCGCAGAGAAAGACAACAACTGTGTGAATTTCTGTTGTAGAACCTCTCCAGCAAAACTTAACCATGTGCCAACAAGCAACAAAACGGATAGTTTTAGCATTCTTGATATATTTTATGTCAAAATTAAATTCCTTAATGAAAGAAATTGTTCCAAAAAGAGATCTCTGATCACGATATGGTACAAAATCGGCCGCTGTAGGTTGTAAACAAAACTGCCAACGATGATGAAAGATGTCAGAGTTTCGGGCTGGTTTTTTCCAACATTTGCACAAATTATTCGGTGATATCGATGCCATAACCTACCTCAAACCACCTGACTTTACAAATCGACAAATATTAACGCCAATATGTGGCTACGGCAAAGAAACCTTTCTCCGCCACTGACATATTTCCATCGGTCGCTGTACGTGCAGTTACATACGACAACTTCGCAAAAGCAGCCACGTCGTTACCGCAGCATTTCTTGATCATAACAAAGTCCAGAAAACAGATCTTAAACCCCTGCGGCTTGTAAAATGTGAATGAAGTCCTCCATTACAATAGCTGCCAGTTCCGTCTGTAGGCACGAAATTCTTACGGATCGACTCAACAAAATACAGCTGCGTCGAGTGTGATGTTCAATTAATTTCTACTTCTGTAGTAAACAAACCATGAACGTATTCTTTCATTGTACGTTCGCATGAATAAAGGTTGACTTTTCCTGTAAAACAGCTTTCGTAACTTATCATGAAATGAGTGCAAAAACTCGTGTTTTGAAGTGCTGCTGTTTGTTGTTTGACTGAACTGAGTTTTAGAAAGTTCAGCGCCATTAAATCGTGAGTCATGATTGGCTTATGATGACTTTAGAGAGAAGACGTGACTTGATCACGATACTAAAACCATATTTTTTACCTAAAAGACTCCATTCTACTAAAAGTTATTTTATAAAAGCAATAGACCACAGTTTCTATGGGTTTACCGGCGTGATAACCCACTTGGGATGTTGGACGAACACTCGAAAAGCTTGTAAATCACTCGCCTTCGGCTCGTGATTTACAAGCTTTTCTCGTGTAGTTTCGATATCGCATACCTGATTTCAAAGCAATGTATGATCCAAGAAATAGGTTTTGATCCGATTAGTGCCCGCCCATTTCCTCGTCGCGATCGGTATCTTGTGATAAAGTTAGAACAATGTTATAAAGGAGCCGTCATAAATGACCATGAAACAACATGCATGGCGGGCAACAAAAATCTCTTCAACTAAAGAGCGCGCTATTAAAACTTCTGAATACAACGGAACTCAAGAGGTAATTAAAAGCTCACTTTTTTTAAGAAACGCTTGCGCAGATTTCCTTGTAATAGTTGTAGTACAATACAAAAGGTCTAACATAACGTTTATGCTCATTTGTAGTCGGAAACGTGGAACATCTTCTCAAGCTAAGCGATGAATACCAAGTGACACACGTCTTCGACGCTTGCATCAGGTTTGTTGAAAGTGAACCAATAAAAAAGGAAAATGTGATGAAACTACGTAGAATCTCAGACTTGCATAATCTGGAAACGGTAGCGAAAGACTGCAACGATTTTATTACGAACATGAAAATAAAGAACCTGTATGAAGTTGTTAACCCTGAAGACCTTGACCAAGGAACCCTGCGACAATTCCTGGAGCAAAGGATTAACCGGCTGGAAACTTTTTTTGATGAGGTGTATCCTGAATTTATGGGAATGGTTGAGTGCTTGTTTTGGCTAATGCATAAGTCCGGGCTGGATGTGAGATGGTGCTCAAAACATGTTACTGACGGAAAATTAGTAAATGAGCTTAAAATCGATAGTGAAGAGATAAGGGAGTGTGCACACTGCCAAAATATGCTATATTCAGTGTGGAGAGCAACTAGCTCAGGCAGGGGGAGGGGGCAAATGTATTGGAACTACCATTATGGACATTCCTGGCGGGGATATCATTTCGAAAATTTGGAAACAACTATCAATGGCTTCTGCAAATTGAAAAATGGTTAAACACTATATCCACCTCCTCCCTTCGACCTATTACTGACCCTGCAGATCATGCCTCTTCATAACTGTTTTATTTTGGAGTTGCCTGTTTTCGCGTAAACTTCACCATGATAGCCATTCTGTTTAATATGTTTTTAAGATCATTTTATTGTTGGTAACCCTCAAAACTGAAAAATTTGTGAATTATTTGCGTTAAGAGTGACTAATCATTTGGTTTTCATATATAATGGTAATACTGAAATGAGCCGAATCCAATTCGGTCTGGCATACCAGTAAATAATTTGTGTGATCACGAGTATGATTAATGACCACATTAGACGTCACGAGGATCTGATAACAACAAAAGGTCTATCGAGAACTTGTTCGATGGTACGCATACTGTCCAATTATACTGTCCTATTAATGTTGACATCAGAGTTCCTGATAGCCAACGTGATTGAAGAATCTTCTCATAGTTGTAATTAAATCTAATAAAATACGAAGTGTGAGTTATTAACTTACGCTGGGACTGTTTTTCGTGAAATACCAGTCGCTAAATTTATGCCTGCAGAATGTGCAACGAGTTTCTTTCTTTTTGATTGGCTGTATTCTTTGTGGGATGGGATAAATTTAGACATTCTTTTGTAATTTACTGCAAAATGTAAGCACTGTAGTGCATTACGTCTCAGAAATGAGGCTAAAATACTAAGGCATTGATTTGTGGCTATTTTGCGTTTAAATAATCCTGCTACCTTATTGTCTCTTATTTTCGCTTCCTGAGATAATTTCTACAGTTTTGAAGATTTGAGGTCGTACTTCCCACCAAGGAGCTAAACTTCACGAAAGTCTTATGCCATATCTTGAGAATGGTATTGAACAAGAAACCTACCATTCTTTTTTTCTAAGGCCCACCGAATTAAGTATCATAATGTCGATCATACGACTTGCGGGGCAAAAATATCAATCTCCGTGGGTCAGGAACTGATCCCCGGGTATAAAAATTTGTGTCGCTATACATTGTATTTGTGTTTGAGTTCCCGTTCATTGCGAAAATTAGTGACAACAATGGAGACAAAGAGGTAATTCAATCAACGCCTAATAGATAGAAAACTTATTTAGAGTCTATATAGGACTTGGCTTCCTAACACCGCACTCAAAGTCACAGTTAGTGTTGCTCTGCTAGAAACGCCGCCGTTTGTTTTAAGCATGTAGTTTGATAGCAAGTCAGAGAGAATGAGTGATAGCCAACATTTACCCCATCCTCCATACAAGGAAAAAAAAGCTCGGAGTTATAGCTACGACTCCGAGTTCCGAACTGTTAACACCTTAAAAAAATGTCACTCAAATAGAAAATTAAAATAGTGCGAATTGACGTCTAACGTACGAGCCCAAGAATTCCATAATAATGGCGTATCACTATCCAGACGTCATCAGTAATGAATTTCTGTTCATTTAGTAGTCAATCGATAAAAATCGGTATCGATTTATCAGTCGATAAATGGATCAAAATCGATAGGTCTGATTTGATTGATATTGATGGGACAAATCGATCAATCGGCAGAAATCGATGACAAACCCGTTTCGTTCATCAATTTATCTTGATTTTTACGAATTTCATCGATTTAAGTCGGAAGATACTCGTCTATACAACTGTAACGTTCCGAAAGTAACGACCCCTCGAAAGTAGTGAACCTCCGAAAGTAGGTGTAGATAGGTCTTAGCAAATCCCGAAAGGAGCGATCCCCCCAAAAATAACGACCCTCCGAAAGATACCTCAAAACCATTTTTTTTGGCAAAAATAACGGATATGATAGATATCCTGAAAAAAAGCCACACTGTTCCGAGATTTATTAATAATGATTATTTGTCATTCCTATTCAGAACTCTCAAAGTACAGGATATTGATTACCTTTTTTTCAAAAAGAATTCCTTTCATAGTTTTTGCAATCTTATTACTTCGGCGGAGCGCGAAGTTAAGGATTCGTGCAGCTCAGGAATCTTCCAAATTTGCATTCGGATATCCAGAAGTTGCTTCGGAATTAGTTGGAGATATCTTCGAGTTCTTTGATTTATTCTTTCAGGGGAAAGAAACAATTAGAAGAAAGTATTACTTCTGGAAGATATAAAGAATAAATTATTATTATTTCGGGTTTGCCCGGGGTTTGAACCGGCTTACGTGTGACCCGTCATATCAGATGAGACTTAAAATTTAGGTATTAGCCGATTGCGCCACTGCGACGCAAGGTAATTTGAGATGTGAAAATAGCCACAAGTTATGGACCAGGAACGGGAAAGATTCGGCAAACAAGTTTGTTACTTTTCGGCTTGTTTTGGGTTTTGACGTAGTAACACCGGAATGAGTTGGAGATATCGCAAGATCACTTCTAGTTCTTCCGGCTACAATAAATATTTGAGGCGGAACCCAAAGTATTAAAGGATTTGCTGCTCTGAAGAATGTCGTAAACTTGCAGTTTGCTTCCGAAGTGAGACCGGATATCTCGAAATCAGTTTTAAATAAGTCAAGATTACACAAGTAACATGCCTTCATGAAATAAATTTTGGGGACAGAAATGTGTATAAAGTTTGAGAGTGAAGAGATTTGGATTACTGGAGATTAGTGCAGCAAGAGTGATTCGAAAGAGGAAGATCGAGGAAAAGGTACAGTTGTCTGCGTTGCGTGAAGACGAAGCGATTCGGAATGCCGCGATAGGCTGTCAATAAAGGGAAGCAAAACGCAGTTACCGTGATTTCATAACCGTTGTGATATTAAGCATCATTATCGTTGTTCTTTTTTTAGTTTTGTTTGGAAGAGTAGGTGTTTTTATACTTGTTGTTTTTGTACTGTGTGTTATTGCTTTTCATAAAGTTTATGTTGCAATGTTGTGGAGATTGTGCATTTTCAGCAAGTTTTGTCAGCGGGCGTGTACTGATGTTAGTCACGTTGCTGGAGAACGTGTGGAGTTAACTGTACATAAGGAAAGTGTTGTTGTAGATAGAGGAAACAAAGGAAGTGGAACTGAGATCTCTTCATGCGCAAATTATCTATGGCAGAAATTATAATCGAAACGTGGAATTTGATGAAAAGTAATAGCATACAGGTTCTTCATGACAGAATTTGAAACAGGATATTAGCGGAGATGATCCCCCGTACTAGGAGACTTCCGGTGAAGAAGATAAGACGTATGTTACTCAAAGGAGAAAAGTAAGGGTATTTGTACGGAAGAGTATCCGGAAAAATATAATTTTTACTATTCCTCCCCATTCACAATTGATTCCACGACCACGACGCCGAAGTGCACGCTCACATAGCGTCTTGTTTTTTAAAGTGTCCATGTAGAGTACACGTTTTAGTCAGTCCAAGAAACGATCCCCCGAATATAGCGAGCCAGCTTCGAAAGAACCGATAGCAGAAGGGTGCTAAATCGGAAAGTAACGAGGGGTCGTTATTTTCGGAACTCTACGGTATTTAACTTATGCCAATTGCGAACTTTCGTTATATGACGTAAAAACCATGAAAAATCAATAATATCGATTTGACACAGAAATTTATTTTATCGATTTTCACTGATTTCCGTTATCAGTCGATAAAAATCACTTGATTGCTACCGATTTTTATCGATTGACTACTCCAGGGGATGTGATAGTAATTAAAAACAAAATGGACTCATTCACATCTATTACAAACAACAAAGTAGGAACATTTTATTAGCAGAAATGATTCCAGTCTAGTGTACGCTAGCTACTGACTCTTAAATTAGCAGATCTTGGAGGCGTACCCTGGACAACCTTTCGTGAATTTTGTTGATAACTAATTGTGTAGTTGCTGTAACTTGTTGTATGTTCCAAATAAACGTTTTTGTAGGTGATGTTGTTGTATTTATTCTATTATTATAATTATTATTATTATTGTTATTATTATTATTATTTTTATTATTATATTATCATTATTTGCTCTGATGAGACTCGTTGAGATGTCAGGTTTTTGGCAAAGGGGGCAACGTGCATTTTTCGATGTCAGGGTTTTAAATCCCTTCGCAAAGAGCTACCGAATCAAAAACTTGACACGGCTTTCTCGAGCAAACAGCGGAAAAGGCACAGAGGCCAAACGATTTGTCATTTAACAAGCCCAGAACAATCAAACATAAGTTGAAGACTGATTTTAGCCGGGCAGAAATCGCAGTTGTTATTGGAAAGATAAAGTACTAGAAACCTTTTATTTTTTATGCATTGCATAGAGCACTTGTAACCCTACTGATATTTTTAATAGATTTTTATCAATGAATTTGTGATAACCGTTTTATCAATGCTTGTATACTCTGGGTGTTATTTTAGAGCAAAGGGAGAACTTTCTTCTTGTGTTTCCCTCGCACGCTCCATAAAAACTAACCAAAAAACTAACGGGTGCCCGCTGCTACGCAGGCTACTCAACGATGTTGTGTTTTATAGTACACTGATCAATTGCAGCACTAAAAGTTTTTGAAGAAAATCTATCAACGAATTTTGGTTTAATCGCCGTTTTCCTGAAAGTAGCCTTAAAAAATTACAAAAAGAGCTCAGCATTGCGTTTTACTGATTCACATGTTTTCTTTTTTTTTTCGAAATCGCGCAAGCCTACTTGCGTTTAGCTGGTTGTAGAGTGTATAAAGGTCATTTGCAGAGTGATAAATACTTTTCTGAAGCCTCCGAAAGGTATCAAATTTGTCTGCATTAAGTCCAGCCTTCAGTTCATGATTTATACCGTTTTTGAGAAATTCCAAGATATCTCGAAATTCCTCTTATAGATTTTTGTGAAACTTCGCACACGGAAGACAAGCACCCAAACTATAGGTAGCGTAAAGCATTTCCAAAGAAAATGCCGATAAGGGCTGCAATTTGATTTAAAGCTAAAACTATTGTGACGTCATTGTCACGTGATATTTATTCCGATCGCCCAAAGATAATATCATAATAAAGCTAAGTCTTTGAGTAATACATGTATTATAATGGGTTTTAGAATAAAGATCAATTTGTTTAAGTATAAATTAAGAGATTCAAAGATGGAAGGTGTACCTAGCTACAAAAATACTAGGTCGAGCCACCTTAAGCTTATCAACCCTCTTTGTGTTTAGCCACGGTGTCTCCTGAATGGAGGTAGAACCTGGGTTCCTCTACCCAGAAAAAAAGGTCCCTTTCCCTCGAACAGAGGTGTCCCTTCAATAGAGGTAACAGATATTCAGCTTACGTGAAGATTTTTCTGTGACCAAATTTTGTGTCCCCTGAATGTATGAAGGTGTCCCGTGAATAGAGGCTTCCCAAAAGAGAGTCCCACTCTATCCCGCTCACTCTCAGTGCGAGAAATATTTTCTAGGAGATATCAGCGCGTAACTTCCATCTGTCTAGGGATCGACAAAAAAACGTTTAAGTACTTAGTACGTAGTACACGAGTGTTTTGCATCATAGAACACAAGCGGTAGGCTTGGCTTACTTATTAGACGGATATCTGGCCAGGGAGTGTATTTGTATCTACTGAAGTCCATTCATGTTATTGTGAAGATATTTATTCTACAATTCAAAATAAATCTCAACATTGACTCCACCGAAAAAATTAAGTAGCATCACCTTTTTTCATATGCGAACATCCACTCTACTGGTCCTATATGTTAAGGATCAGGATAGCGATCCTTTTCGATCCTCTCTATCGTCATCATCAGCCTCTCTCCTGCCCTTTAACACGCAATCCAGCTAAAAGAAAACCGCACTTCTAAAGGACTGGGTTTCATCTTTGCGTCAAAATTGTTTTTCCGCTAATTTTCAAACTCTTGCAATGTTTAGCAGGAAGAAGTGGGCCGAAACCCTGGTTTTGAAATCGATGCTTCACGAGTACCGCAGCCTGTGAGTACCGATACGATGGACCATAATGATATCGATACCACCTGGGGTCACGTTATGGAAACTGGGAAGTCGTTGTTGATGTGGTTGGGAGATATTTATTGTTGATTTTGCTATTCTTGCTGATAATGGTAATAGTGATGGCAACAGTACAGTGATAACGATGATGATGACTATGACATACACTTAAAAAGGCAACAACAGCCGGAGAACACAAATGCGTTTAGTTGCCTCAGATTCTACGCTATAAGGCGATGCAAGTGACACAAGGAAAAATGATCAATTTGGCCACTTAAAAAATTGTCACCCGAGATCTTTACTGAGTCAGAATTATTTGGCTACCATTCTCCGTCAGCCTTTGAAGAGGTATTGTTAGTAGCTAGATTTCCTCATAATTAATTTTTGACCTGTACATTTGTTTGTAACGATACCAAACAGCACAACGGAAATCCTTGCATTTGGAAAAAAAATAAAATAAATAGGTAATGACTGTTTAACTTAACATACACTCAGTGGTCCAGTGTTAAAGGAAATCAAGCAGAACGCTCTTCTCGGAACTCAGATGGTTTTCATGGAAACAAGAGAACTGTTGAATATAATCAAAAAAGGTCGAAGGGCCTCTGCTTGCAGGGTGCATGATATTATTAAGGTCTATTGAAACCCTGTCTATTTTTCGCGTGTGTCGCCATTTTGAGACACAAATTGAAACGGTACTATTTTGATCGATTTAATGCTGTCATGGACTAATAATTTTTATAATAATGAATTACTATTTTAATTGTTATTCTTTCTAATGACTAGGACGGTTATTGCAGAACGCAGCGACGCGATTACAATGGCGTCTAGCAGTTCCGACAAAGAAGCACAAGTTACTAAGGAAGAAGCCACTACTGCCGGAGGTAAATTAATAGCTTATTAAAACTCTATTAACCTGAACTAGAGTACTTCCCTTCAGTTGTCGACAAAAGGGGAGGAAGTAATAGCGAGGACTTTTGTTTTGTAATTTTGAGAAAATGAGCTGCGTGGCAGTGTTTACTACGTGGCAGTGTTAAATACGAAACGTGACGCGCCCGAGTCTCGAACGGGAGTGCCAATGAAAATTCCATCTTTCTACTTCTTACAACATTCCAAAGGTTAACATTAGGTTTTACTAGGAAATTGGAGTTAAGAACCCAGTCGCTTTTAAGCGGTTAAAGACATTAGTCAATCTTTGTATTTTTTAATAAATGAATTATTTATTATTTAAGGAGTTTATATCTGATATGACGTGGGCAAAAGCGTCCAAAACCGGTAGCCTTATTTATGTGCAAGCATTTAAGAGGCTGTCCGCGTAAGAACCGATAAGGCAAATTTCGGTCTATCACGGATTGCCCTGATTTTTTCAGTGGAAGATGACTATCCTATCCCATGAAGAAATATCACATTTATTTGGACCAACTCAATTTTTTCTCTATTTTACAGGAAGATTTTCTCGGTCACCTAAAACTAGTCAGTTTGCCGTAGGAAGTAGTGCGATTTTGGTGAAACTTTAGGGCTCTGTCAAACCTACCTTACATAGCCGAATAATCTGATTATTTTACACACAAAAGTTTTAACTCTCATTAATAGTTTCAATGTTTAATGGTTGCATTCTGTGGAAAGTTGGCTGAGATATGATTTTTTGAAAATGACCTTTAATTTGCTCAGCAGGAAAAGTAATTTGCATAACTAGAGCTGAACGGTAATTTCGCAAAAGTGGCACCTGACCCAGACTCAAGTCTATGATAAATCAGAAGTACTAAGACCAGTCTACTTCTTAACGCAATAAAATTTGTGGGCACTCTTCTTTGCGTGCCGTGCAAAGTTCCGTTTATGTTCCAAAATTCGCCATTTTGACAGCAAAGCTGGAATTGTAACGGGTCCGCATCTGATCGACTAATTTCCACAGCTTTAACGTTTCCAGTTATCACTAAATATCATTAGACCCTTTAAATGTTGGACGTTTGAAAACATGTGGAGAAAACTTAGTAATCGCTTTTTCTTGGGTCTTTTTCTTGTCGACGATGAACGTGACTTCGTTCTCGGTATGCAAATTAGCCTTAGATCCGTTGTTTCAACAAATTGACAGGAAATATAATCGTTACATTCACATTTCTAAGGGGAAAAATAATTCTCCTTTCCACAGAAAAACACAAACCATGACTTAGAATCCCGTTAAGGTCTGTTTTTTTTTTTTTAACGAGGAAGAAGCAGCTGAATAATATATCATGATACATGTTTGCGGCTTAAAATAATTCAATTACTGTGGCCTGTCACGCATTCCTGAAGACGGGTGGTCGATTAGAAAACAATAGCGTTGTGTCGATCAATTCGATAATATTATCATCTTTTTTTTAAATGATAGTTATTGATAATAATAAAAAATAAGAGTTCACTTGCAAGGTAATTCCTCCTGTCAGCACACGAAAATGTTTGGGCACTCTTTTTTGCGTGCCTTTATAAAAAATAGCGTTAACGTCGAAAGCTGTATTGTGATATTTGCTTATCGGGAGAAGGCAGATCTTTGTACATGGCACTATGATTAAAAAAAAAAAGGCCCCACACTTTTTCTATCTTAAATTAGCGGTAAATTTCAGTTTCATTCAAAGATCTTTAAAGTGTTTATCGGTAGCTTATCGGTAGCAGAATGAAAAGGGAAAAATAGTTCCTTTTTTCAGTGAATAAACGCAAAAGGGAGTATTTTTTCAGTTTTTGTTAGGGTATAACATCCGAATTCCAACGATGATCTTGTTTTGGTTTCAATCTGATTGAATTATAATGCAACAGGTGCCAGTTTCAAATTAAATATAACTATGTCACTGAAATCGCCGAAGAGATCAATTGTGAAAAATGGCTTTTTCGGCTATTTCATCAAGCAGTTCTTCCGCGAGATCGTAGACAGAGTGGGTCCCGGAAAGGGTGTGGAGGAAAATGTGTTGGTCACAGAGTGCATGGATGATATTACCTCGCACTTAGCCAGCTGTCACTTGTCTAAGTGTAGCAAGTGTAGCAAAGACAATGAAAATGAACTCATTTTAGCGAGAGTACGTATTCGAGGCTTGGTGGGTATTCGGAACTGAAATGACAATCTGCCCAAGGCACAGACACTAAATAGCCTGTGTACAGACCCCCTCCTCTCAGGAAAAATCGGGGAAGGGGCCGCTTCTCCCAAGGGGGGAAGGGTAGTGTGCAAACAGGCTAACACTAAAATGACAATCGGCTTTAGGCACAGGTTTTTGCGAGCGCCAAGGTCTTGTTAGGCTCGATTGTAAGCCGCTGTTCTGGAAAACGAGCCCCCAACGGACGGGGAGAGGGCGGAAATCGAGCCTAAGGTCTTGTCAATACCCCGGTCACACTCTGGATCATAATGGCAAAATAACTTCTGTGGCAGGAAGACACGTCGTAAATTTCCAGATAGCCAGCGAAATAAGTCAAAGTTTTGTTCCATCATTCTTTTTTCTTCTTCATGCAAACAATTGTCTTAACGTACAGAGATATTTTAATTTCTCTATTTAACATTTTATCTTGCGATGTTTCCTGAAGCTCGTTTCCAGTTTATTTGAGCTTGCAAAGATAGTTTTTGTTATTTCTATTTTTTTGACAGCCGTGTATCTTGCCCTAATCAATTCTTACCTTTAAAATACTATACATACCGGTTAATCCGTGTGTTGTGAAAGATTGTTTTCTGATGATTGTTTGAAGAGCATTACAAATTGTATTTATACCCTCTTGAACAATGTGCTTCATCTCACCTCTCCATTTTTAACCTACTTTACCATGCACCCTCTCTCCCCACTGTTCCACCTCTACTTTAATAAGCATTTGTATTTAAGAGGGTGAAATTTCTCCCGTGTATATTAATTTCAGAAAAAATAAGTCCTTCTACTTTTCCTTAAATTCTTAAACTTAATTCTTTTTTCTTTAAGAACGGCCAAAGATGCTGCTAAGGCTGCAATAAGCGCCCTCGCCCTTTTGTATACTTCATCTAGCGAAATGCCCGCCCTTTCATATACCTGAAGCCTGAAAAAGATACTCCTTTCGGGCGGAACCTCCCCGTATAGGCCATCATAGGGAGTTCCCCCCAATCCCGTTCCAATTCCGTGCTCACCTATTGCCAGCCCATGTTGGACTCTAGGCCCGTTTGAGTCAACACGTAAACATAATCCTAAGTGTATACAAGTTGAACTTGACCATAGAGATCTGTTGCAAGAAGACGAGGAGTTCGAAAGGCAAAGCTTGTTGCAGAAATCGCTGAAGAATTGAGACCACAACACCCTCAACCTGAAGCTTTCAACCTATGTGTATGTCAAAGGAAGAACAACACCTAGTCAGTTCAACGTGGTAATGCTAAAAAAATCTTGTGTCACTTAAAAATACCATTCAAATCCAGGGAAAGAAAAGGAGACCTAGTTGACAAACTTTCGTCTTTCATACAAGATTGCATGTGCTTTTCTCCAACAGCTCAGGAGTGAACATATGGATCCTTAATTTAGTGTGATTAACAGCCGGCAAAACTTTTGGGATTTAACACTGAGAAGGACCTTAAACAATAACTATGCCTTTTTCTGCATGCCATTCCTCATTTTTACTGAAATGTTGTTAATTGGCGATAAACACAATGCTCTGTTAATACCACCCTAATGTTTGTATAGCCTATGGTTAGCAAGGGATCTTGGAAATGAAAGTACTTTGCAGGTGTGGTGCTATGCTGTCGCACGGTATCTCTGAAGTTGTTTGCGAGCTATTTCCAAAATATTAATTTTTGATTCTGTAATTGAAAATATTGTGCTAGTGCTCGTGAATAAGAGTGGCCGTGTCCAAGTGACTACTTTGTAGCTAATTGTCGTGTATTACACCATGGGCTGTCATATTAAACCCTATCCTCACGGTAACTCCCGGGGATACTGACTCAGTTAAAACGGTCGTAGAATGAATAAATACAACAGCACGGTATTTCCCACCCAGTAAAGAATCGGAATTAACAGTGATTAAATTGTATGATTATCAATAACGATCACTTCAAAAAAAATATAATCAGATAAAAGAACTGATCGATATACGGCCACTCTCGGGGAATGCGTGACGGGCCACAGTAATTAAATTATTTTAATTCGCGTAAACATATCTTCTTCTACTACTTCTTCCTCGTGAAACAGACCTAAGGGAATTCTAAGTCATATATCGTTCGTGTTTTTCCGTGGAAAATTCTAAGAGATATTTTCCCTTAAAAATGTGAAATATAAGCAGTTATGTTCCCTGTCAATTCAATTTGTTGAAACGACGCATCTAAGGCTAATTTGCATACGGAGAATGAAGTCGCGTTGTGATCGTCGACCAGGAAAAAAACCAAGAAAACGCGATTACCAAGTTTTCTCCTCATGTTTTCAAAAGTCCAACATTTAAAGGGTCTAATGACATTTGGTGATAACTAGAAACGTTAAAACTGTGGAAATTAGTCGATCAAACGCGGACCGTTACAATTCCAGCTTTGCTGTCAAAGTGGCGAATTTGTAACATTAACGGAACTTTGTACAGCGCGCAGAGAAGAGTGCCCACAAATTTTATTGCATTAAGAAGTAGACTGGTCTTAGTACTTCTGATTCATCACAGACTTGAGTCTGGGTCAGGTGCCACTTTCGCGAAATTACCGTTCAGCTCTAGTTATGCAAATTACTTTCCTGCTGAGCAAATTAAAGGTCATTTAAAAAAAATCATATCTCAGCCAAATTTCGACAGAATGCAACCATTAAACTTTGACACTGTTAATGAGAGTTAAAACATTTGTGTGTAAAATAATCAGCTTATTCGGCTATGTAAGGTAGGTTTGACAGAGCCCTAAAAATTCACCAAAATCGCACCACTTCTGAAGGCAAACGGGCCAGTTTTAGGTGACCGAGAAAATCTTCCTGTAATATAGAGAAAAAATTGAGTTGGTCCAAATAAATGTGATATTTCTTCATGGGATAGGATAGTTATCTTCCACTGAAAAAATCAGGGCAATCCGTGATACAACGAAATTTGCCTTATCGGTTCTTACGCGGACAGCCTCTTAAGTAGGTACATTATCGGCAAAAAGTGAGCCGCGAGAAATTTTCTTTTAAAAAATAAGCGTTAATATCACTTAGTTAGACCCTCCTGGTTAGTGGGTTTTATTATACCCCAGATTAAGTGTTAATTAGTTGTAAAGAACAGGGATTAGCCGTGGGTTAACACGTAGAAAAATTATAAGTGTAAACTGTTATACCACCACCATATTGCGACCCATGGACAATTGAATGTGAAATCCCTTTTTGTGTGCTTTTCTTTTTTGTTTATTTGTTTTTAATCGAGATGTGTAATAAACATCGTAAACAACGATGTTGTTCACTCTACCAATAGGAGAAGAACAGGAAAAAGTCAAACATCGATTTTCTGAGCCGTGGGAAGATAGCGACCTGATTCTTATCGTGGAAGATGAGAAGTTTCATGTTCATCGCCTGATATTGAGCATGAACTCACCAGTGTTTAAGGCCATGTTCAAATCAGGCTTTCAAGAAGCAAACAACAACGAAATTCAGTTGCCTGGGAAAAGAGGAAATGAAGTTCTGGACTTTTTGAAGCAGTTTTACATACAAGAAAAAGAGGAAATTACGGGTAAGTTGCTGTTTCATAACTTTGTTTGTCAAGTGGACCTCTAGAATGGTTTAACCTTAAAAGTGTTTTAACCTTTAAATCTAAATCTAAAGCTCAAAGCAGCCCGAGAATCTGAAACTGATGAATATTGAATGCATTCAACATGTAACATTTACATTTTCAAGAGCAAATTGATTATTTTTTTTAACATGTGTTTTTGGGCCATTAGTCAGTATAAATTTTCAGACTTTTGATTATTTAAAAATTATGGTATATGATTTGACGAGTTAAGTTGACGAGTAGTATAGAAGGAATGTTTTAGGCTCGTTTTGAAGGAAAACCTCTTTAACTTGATTGGAAAAGCGTCAATGACTTCGTGTGCTATTTTTAGGTAGTTTGACTACTTAGTGAAATAAAGCGAGTGAAGGAAGGAATCGCGGGATGAAGAAATAAATACAGAGAAGATCATCACAGTAAAGACGCAACTTATGCAGCTGCGAAAAGAAAGCCTGAAGAAATTCATGCAGGCTTGCCAGGATTTGAAACCTGACCTCTGTGATACGGGTGCAGCGCTCTAACCAACTGAGCTAGTAAGCCGACTGGGAAAGGTTCGTAAGACAGTGAAACCTCTATTAAGCGGACACCTTCGGGACCTTCCCAAGTGTCCGCTTAATAGAGGTTGTAAAAATTGCGCAATGTTTGTTAACGATCAAAATTTAACGCTTACTCTGTACTGTGATAAAGTTGCATGTTGTTAAAGAAGCTATCCTGAGTTTAAGTTCATTACCTTTCATTACCAACTTTAATTTGTTTGTAAATGCAAATAATTTAACTGACTTCAGTACGTATTTCAAGGACGTAATCCAATACTATTATTGTCAATTCAGTTCGGTGTCCACCTAATAGAGGTTTTTAACAATTATAGAAATTAGCCAAGTACAATTTATTTTTAATTAGTGTCCGCGTCCGCTTAATAGAGGTGTCCGCTGAAGAGAGGCTCGTTATAAATGGAAATATAAGACGTTAATTTCTGGTACCGACTTAGCGTCCGCTTAATAGAGGGTGTCCTCTTAATTGGGGGTCCGCTTAATAGAGGTTTCACTGTATAGGAATATACCGGCCCGGGAAAAGTGAGAGATGAAATGATGATCTTCACTGCGTTCATTTCTTCATCCCGTAGCTCAACTATCTGTAATTCAAATATCCTTCTTTTTAATTATTTTTGCGCAAATTGGCATATGAATATGAACAAATACGCCTTACATAAACATTTAACCTGTTTTTTCATATATTATTACGTAAATTCATATGTTCATCATTTCATCTTCATCAATTTCCCGCGTACTATTACGAACCAATTAAATGACCAGTTCCAAGTTGGCTTGCTAACTTAATTGGCTAGAGCTGCACTTGTATTCCGGCAAATATTCCGGCAAGCCTGAATTTATTCAGGATCTCTTTGCGCAACTGCATAACAGTGAAATTGCGTATTTAATTGTGTTGATTTTCTCTACAGTTATTCTTATTATAATTGTTGTTGTTGTTATTATTAAGTTCCATAGCGCATAAGGAAGGGCTATTGGCAGTTAAATCAAAATGAACTAGTCAACCGTGACGCAGCCTCTTTAGTATTCATTTTAATTTTTTAACAATTATAGTTGAGAACGTGGAGCATCTGGCCAGGTTGAGTGATGAATACGAGGTAAAGTCTATCTTTGAAAGTTGCGTCCAATTCCTTAAGAAGCAGTCTATAAAAAAGGGAAATGTGATGAAGATTCTGAGGCTTGCTAACTTGTACGAGCTTCAAGATATTCGTCAGAAATGCTACTTTCTGCTCATGAAAATGAGATTACAACCCATCCTTGAAATTATTCAGGAGCATGATGATGTCGACAAAGAAGATGTACAAAATATCTTAATCCAAAGAATTAAGTACTTGGAAAGTTTTCTTGATTCACTATATCCTCATTTTATGGGGATGGTGGAATGCGGTTTTTGGCTGTGGTATGAAGGAAAGCAGTACATGAAGTGGTGTCCTATGCATTTTGATGGGGGCAGATCAAGCAAAAAAATCGATGAGCGGCTGCAAGAATGTTCAGTTTGTACGAAAATGTTGAATACATTTAATGAGAGTCATTTCTATAAGTTCAGCTACGAGCGATACGACTATGAGTCAATTTTAGATAGAATGAACCTTCAAATAGATTTGCCGAATTTAATTCTTGAGATGGCTGCTAACAGAGTTACCTTCGTCAGTCAAACGCTCTAGGTCAGTCAGGGTGATGTCTTTGAAAGACAATCGAGCGTTTTAAGCTGATTTTCAGTACTAATATTATATAAATGACTGAGCTTCGAATGCTCTAGTAGATGCTGTTTATATACCTATACCGTTTCTAACCATTTAATATTTATATAAAAGATGTAAACAGTTAAAATATTTGTGCATCGTACTGCAGGGATAAATGCTTTTAAAACAATTAGGCTAAACATCATACACTGATTGAGTCTTGTGAACGAGATGCGGTTTAATGTTATACAACAAATTGCCACAACTTCACGGATCTTTAATTTCAGGAAAAAAATTAATGAAATGTTGCAAAAAGCACTTCTTCTCTAGATTATTACTTTTTTCACTGGGTAATGCAGTCTCCGTATTCTAAAAATCCAGTCTTGAATGTCAAAGAGGTCTACTTCAAACTTTCTCACATGTCTTGCTGTTTATTGCACAGACGTTTCCCCTTTCGGGCTTTTTCAGTGAACAAACTCGTCGCGTAAACAAAAGCAAAAAATGAAAAACAGACAACAAACACGACGGTTGTTATTGCGGAACCTGGCATGGGTGAAAACAACTTTATGTATAATATATCTAACTGGTGATTTTTTTGTAAACGTGGCTTCACCGACTCTCTGCAGTTGCGCAGTATATATGACTTTGGTACCAGGAATTCACCCTCCTCACCCAAGAGCCTGAATGGCTGTCTGCTCATTCCCCTGAGCTCTGCAATTATCATGATAATTATTATCAGCCGGAGGCCTGATTGAGCTGATTCGGTTAAAAGTAAATAAGTTACTTCTCAGTTAAAGCCTCTGATCAATTAGTGTTACGGTGGCGTCAAAAAATAACATCCGGTCCTACCCCACCCTCTGGTGTTTGGGGAGACAAGCATAATGTAACCTTAATGTCCAGTTTGCAAGTCTTGCAGAATAAGGCTGCTAAAATGATTTTAGACAGACCTCTTTATTCATTTGCTACGTAGACGCTTGCCACTCTTAAGTGCGTTCGTTAGAAAAAAGGCGTTTTCAGAGAAGATGTATTTATGTTTATAAGTGTTTAAATGGACTTGTTGAACATGATATGAACTTCATAAGACTGCAAGAACAACATGATTATAACACTAGAACAAGCTAGAACTAAGCTAAATTTCAGACTTCCAAAGGAATTGTGGAAAACAACGTACTGCATTTCATGCCATCAAGTATTTTAACTCCGCGAGCCAGGCAATGAGACAATCCGTGCATCTATATATATTAAAACTTAATATTTTTAAATTTGTAATTTAAATGAATTTAAGGTTACATCTTGTACTTTTTAATAGTTTTGACCAGGAGCCGATAGTAATCGGCTCCTGTTTTGACATATTTTAGCTTTTTAACGCCTTCGTGATTTGTATATTTCGTACTTTTTAAATTTTTTAGATCCTTTTTGAAAACCGTATTTTATATGAAAAAGTTATCTCAATAAAGACTATCATCATTCGAAGCAAATTTTTTTCTCCTTTCATTGGGGACAGCCCACCACGTGACCTGCAAATAACTGCCCACAAATAATGGTCTGCTCATGCGCAATGCCGTCCAACTGTGTTTGGCTGCAACTAATATTCTGCACATGCGTAAAGGAAACCGTGCTTTTCTCCTTCTTGCGATTGCTCTTGCGTGAAAATGGCAGATGGCTTCGCTTCCCGAGGATATTCATTAAAAAACAAACTCGGTGATCGAATGATAAAACAATTATTGAACTCGGTTATCGCAAAATATCGTGATTTGCCAGTGTCTCGCAGATCAGTTATTGGAAAAGCGCCCTGGGGACGAGGTTGTTTGCCTCAGCCTTCGGCTTCGACAAATAATTGATCTGCTCGCCACAGACAAATCACGATATTTTGCTCAACCTCGTCCAATAATTGTTAATTATTATTACTCAGTGTTAGGGCTTTATCTGGGCTATCTGACCGTGCCGATCAGGACGGCAAGCCGAGCATAGCCTCCCACAAATTTTTGACGCCTGCATGCAGCCCCCGGGATGCAGCCACGCTTTAAAGAATTCACACAGATATACTCCAACACACTGTCTGCATACCAGAACACATATTTCAACTACTGGATAGCCGGATTTCTGCCATGTTAGCCCTTCTTATTATGCATGGTTCAATTTTGCTCGTAACCATGCGCCCCCGGGCACACCCCTGGGGATTGCAATTTTTTTCTTTTTTAGAGGTCTATTCCCCATCCACCGGCACGCCGCGTGAGAAGGAGGCAATTACCCACCCGATCGACCTCATATATGTTTTTTGCAACATCTTTTTGATCCGTACAAAAGCAAAACGACACGTTTTCACAACTTTTATGTACCTTTTCCAGGGTTTATTGACAGTACGATAATGGATGTCATAATGTAGTTAAAACATGAACAATTGTTGGTTTTCACATGACGTCACTAAAATTCAAACTAAAAAACTATCGATCCTACTGAGATTTTACTTTAACGATGCATAAGAGCAGCTGAAAACTAATTTTCATACAAATTTTCGCTTCAAAAGGGTTCTTGGTTTTGTGCGGATAGAGTACGCTTGAATTTCTAAGCTTTTGCGTGACGCGACATTTACATGACCTGCATGACGGCCAAGAGAGCTGTCATGTAGGTTAAAAAAAATTACTTATTTCAGGAATGTTGCTATCTAAACAGTTCATGTATTAGAAAAAGTATTACTTTAATGTTTATGAGTTTCTCGAAGAATAAATTTACGCTTTTGTAGCAAAACTCGGTAACAGATGTTTCTGTTGGTTTCCGTCCGCTATGTTGGAGCTCATCCAGGTGAGGTGAGCACCAGCATGGCGTCTCCATACAAATCTCTATAAGTTTAGGTAAAACATGTCTTCGGATATCTCGTATAAGAAATGTTCCTCTGACTTGAATCTTGGCGAAGGTCTTTGTATATGTACTTCCTTTCATTTCCCAGATTCTGGACTTTATCTATTAAACGGTTTTGATTTTTCTTTTGATCTATTTTGAATGGCGTGACACTGAAAACCAGCAATAAATTTGAAAAGGAAAACGAAGAAGAAAAACTCTTTAAAAAGCGCTTCCTTGATAGAACTAGCCTGCGTAGCAAGCGCTTGGAAGTAGTGGGTGAAAGAGAGAACGGGCGCGCGCGAGAAGGTGTCTCCTTCTCGCGCGCCCGTTTTTTCTTGTGCCCACTACTTAGAAGGGCCTCCTACGGAGGCTATGATAGAACACTTCATGAGAACACTGGACCGAATAAGCACATTGGTTAAATACAGACTTTAATTTTCATAAGATATTTCTCCCAAACCACTCTCCGACAAATTTCTTCCAAAAAATACGTAATCTTGAGGTCCGCAGTCATTGTGTAAACCGCGCGAGAAATAACACATACTTCGCAAAATCAAAGAGGAGATATTTTTTATTTGTCCCACTCTCCTACCCCAGGGACAGAACCGCTTCAAACAATTCCCCACCCCCGGGACCGAAGGGCTGGACTTGTCCCAGGGGTTGCCTTGGGGTGGGGGATGGTAACAAGTAAAATTGAACTACCGGTATGCATTAGGGCTTCGTCACGCGTTGCTTCCCCACGAACGTATGCGGAGGATTGTGTGACGTTAACTCGTGCCAGCTCTCGCCGGTCAGAGTTGGACGCCATTGCAAGCGCGTGATTGCTTTCTATCCTTACGGCGGTAAAACGGAAAATATATCTAGAAGTTCTAGTTGAAGACCACTATCTACTAACGGTAAGGTTAATTAACATTGTTTATTTTACTGAAAATGTTACTATATAGCCAAAGATTCCTTCGTTTGCTGAGTACTTAGTAGCCATTTAGCTTAAGCATGAGTCTTGCATTTGCACAATGCAATGAGGCGATCAGAAAATAACAATGCTTTTGACTAACTGAAGCTTCTATTAAAACTCGTGCATTTCAAATCGTTTCAAATTGTTTGACATTCTACCACTCATGCAGGCAACGAGAAAATAATTGGTACAGAAATCTGCTAGTACAGCCTTTGTTTAGTCCTGAGTGTTCAGTTGATAGAATTGATAATCGATAGTGATCGATAACATGTACAATTGATAATATTAGTTAATTACAATGGAAATCAATAAAAGTCAAATATTAAAGAATTTTTGTGAGTAATCGATCACTTTATTTGTGTTTTTGAATGTACAATGGTAAATCTCGCTACGTATACGCAATGTACAAATGCTTTTTGAGATTGGATTATTCAAAAAAAAGAAAAAGAAAGAAAGAAAAAATAAAATAAAATAAAATAAATCAAAATCGCATTAAGTCTGGGCTATCCCGATTCCTATTTCCACAACAAAAGATGTAATATGTTGCTCTAATGGCTATATTTATCATTTTCTCAATTGTATAATAATAATCATCATCATCATCATCATCATGGCCAGAAATCGGATACAACATGGCGGACAGTCATGCGCGCTGCAGGCAATTTTGTGAACTTTAAACATTTCAACCGAACAAAGCTTTATATGAGAAATGTACAAACTGCATCCGTACCAGGCGAATGTAGTGGATAGTAAAAATGAGCACATCTAATCCGTCAGAAACAATGCCTACTTACATGAATTCTCACGATCCAACAATTTGCCTAAGTTAGGCCATGATTGCATAACTTTTTAGACTTTAATGGCGACTTAGATGTCTTAAATCTGCCTTTGTTTGCCATGTTCCATGCATTACAAGACCGATGTGAGCCCATGTTTACAAATTGTGCACGTCAGATCTTCTTCCACCATGATCGATCATCCATTTGAGACCAATTTTGAGGCACAGAAGGCTGTTTAAGCGTGGCCAAACGGCTCGCAAAACCCATTATTATACGTTTTTTGTTTGTCGGTCTCTTGGAGGAAATGACCGCAATGATAAGCAAAAAACTCGAGTGAAATCGAGTGAAAATAATAAAACTCTGAACAAAAACAGTCGCAATCTTTGAAGGACTCTGAAACCAAGCTTTTTTGATGGATTCCCACTGTACAGAGCTGTAAAAGCTTTGCATCCTCAAGCAATCATGACTTTGCGAGACAAAGTGATGTTACTCGGTGTGATAGTAAGGCTGTTGATTGCGCAATGATGTAATATCAAGAAATCTTCGGTTTTTCTTCTTTTGAATATGCATATTATTAGAAGTAGTTGGCAAATGCTATATTTTCAGTGCTTAATCATAAGATTCTACCGTTTTTCACTGATTTTACCAAAAAGAAAGAAAAATAATTACTTGAGCCCACACTTCATCCCACTGTCTGTCTGAAATTTCTGGCCATGAATAATAATAACAATAATGATAAAAATAATACTAAATTATTATTATTTATTTAGTGCTATTATTCATTCAAAATATTTCCCCAATTCTGATTGGGTTAAAGCGCGTGCATAATTCACCATAACCAGCTACTGATGACCAAATTTGGAAGAATTTTTTAATTAATCAACCAATGACGACAAAAGTGCAGCTTCCTTGCAGGTTAATGCACCGTTAACCGAGAAGACCTGGGGATGAGGTTAAGTTGTTTTGGTTGTGAAAACAAAAATGGCAGACTTTTTACTTGTTGCTAGAATAAGAACTAGGCAAAGTAATAGCTAAAATCATGGCAAGAACAGCAAGAAGACAACTCAAAGAGCGACATCTGCTATTTGGAGAATATCTGCAGAGCTTAACAACTCTAAATGTGTCCTATCGAAGATGAACTTAACATCGGTGGAGGTAAGCATGTTTTAGCTATGTTTTTAAACTAGGAATTATTTTGAATTAATGATAAAATAATTATTCAATTCAGCTTTCATATCATAGGATGAATTATGGAGATCTCGGAGGGTGTTATCCGCCTCGGCCGATAACACCTTCCTTGATCTCCATACATGCAATTCTTCATGAGATACTCAGCCTCATTCATTAATTGTTAATTATCAATTTTTATCAAAAAATGTTGAACTTATTGATATTACCATGAAACAAAAAAAACCAACATGGATCAAAATCAACCAAATTATTAAAACTTATTTCTACTGAGTGATCAATAAAATCCCTAACATAATTAAGAGCCATCAATTAGTCATTAGGTTTTCTGATATCAGTTCTTAGCATTTAAACATGCAGGGTAGTGTAAGAGTACCTACAGCTGCTCAAAATTATACTCACATTAAATTTTTCTAGCCTAGGTTGATGCTTAATTTCCCTTGTCTCGTATCTCCTATTTCCTGTCTCCTAGCCCTAAAGGCATAAATAATAAATTAAATTCCTAGTGAGTTAAAACATCTTCCCCTATAATTCAATTTTGTCCTGCCACATACCCACCCATGGGGTATAAACACTCACGTACATGCACAACACTTCTGTATTGGGTTTACATGTAGGTGCAAATGGTAAACCGTCCTTTAGGTTTTATCATGGGCAGATTTAGGGGTGGGCCAAGGGGACTGCAGCCACCACATTTTCCTTGATACACTGCATTTTCTATTTATTTTTAGAAAATTCTCAGTAAAATAAAAAGCATTGGCAAATGTCCCGTCCAATGTAATTTTAATTTTTTGGATCCAGCCATATTTATCTCAAGATAAATTTAGCCTACTATAGTCTTATTGTTTTTTGTTTATGTCTTTTAAAATCATTATTCTTTGTATTCTTTTACCTAATCACCAGTTTTGTTTTATTGCAGTAACATGTCAGTGAAACAATCATTCTTGGATTTCCGTGTCACACCAGATGCCTCTGGAAAATGGATGAAACCAGCACAGGAAAAAATCAGTGAAATTATCAAAGCTACCTTCCAAGCCAATAATTGCTTTAGTACTTCTTGTGTTACACTGTTTACAGGTGTAAATGACGTGTGAGTGATTATTTCTATACATTTACCCTACCATTAAAATTGCATAGACGTTTCTCACTATTATTGTTTCTTTAATCACAGAGAGTGTACCCTTCGATTATTTCCAGATGGTCTCATAACATTAGATATTGTTCAGTACATCAAAGATGTCAGTGAAGAAAAATTACTCTGTCGACAGGTAATTCTTTGGTACATTTCTTGGCGATTTAATTGTCAAACAGTCTACAGCTGGAATTCTTGCTTGTTACAATGTGTTTTTTTAAATATTTGTTTCTGTTTATGGCCACAATGGAAACTAACAGATCACCAGTTAAATCATGGTACCCCTATAAGGTCAACAATTCTTCCTCCCTCCACCCCCCTTACAATGCCTTTTTAAAACATCCCATGATACATGAAGCACAAAATAGCAGTGCAATAATAACACCTGACCCCCAAAGTCAACTTGAATAAAGATCAAATGTCACAGGCTACTTATAGAAGTTATAAAACACACAGTATTCTTATCACTGCCATTAAGAATGCATGAATTTTTATTTCATTTTTTCATTGCTCACAGTTGAGTGAATTTATTTTCACAGGATTACACTGACCTTAAAGACAAGGTTGATGAAGCCTTGTCTTGTGTGAAAGCAGATTTTATTCCTACCATTTGTAGAGGACGGGACATTCTATGCTATCATGACACATCAGATGGCCAATTTAAGGAATATGATTTTGACAAGTTAGTATTGTTGGTTTTCACAGTCATACCGTCAAACATCAAAATCTAAATCATTCAATAGGTAAATCTAAGAATCTTGGAAGATTAATAATTATGCAAACAGCGTACAGTAGAGCCAAGATTAAGGTTCCCACAAATTTGCACCTGCAAGATACTCTGAGAAATCAAATGTTCTGCCCAAATTTTTAGGCCTTTGTTCGGAGATGCCATTTTTGTATCTATTTAAGGGCCATCGATACACCATCTGTAAACCAACAGAAGCATGTCATTTAGTTTTGCTACATGTGTGGAAGCATGAGGTCATCTCATATAGTGTAACTCTAATTAAGCCCCTTGAAGATCCACATACAAAATCTTCAGACTGATTTGCAGTGGCAGATCCAGGGGAAGGCCCCCCCTTAATTTTAGACCAAACTGAGGCCAAAAAAAATGGTTTTGAGACCACCCCCCCTATCTCAGGGTCTGGATGACTGCAGCCCCTCCCCCTCCCCCCCCCCACCCCCTCATCTGAAGGTCTGGATCTGCCACTGGATTGATCTCCGTTCATTTCATACAAGTGTATGTCGAAAGATCAAATTATGTTCTTTTTGGTGATCATTTTATTTATTCCTTTAATCTTTCTACATGAGTATGTTACATACATTACATTGATATTACAATGTACATCATGTATATGTTGGTCATTCTTGGGACTTAAAGGTTAAGTATGTTGAAAAATACATTTTCTAACACAAGGGCTGTTCACATACTAAGAAAAATATATTAAAAGAATCATGTATACATGACAGCTTTCTTGGCCACCATTTATATCTAATATGCTGCATCATGAAGAAGCTTAGGAATTTAAGCATACTTTCAGTTCACAAAATGAAGAACCCATTTGAACTAAAAATTTTTAAAGATCCCATCATGCAACATATTTGCTTTATTTGCTGAGCAACGAATGTCGCGTGCAGATGTCGAGGGGAAGGGGGCATACAATACGTTTCTTCTCCAGAAAAGGAGAGGGGTTAAATTAGAGGGGGAATTAAGGTGCTTATAACCTTATTTTTTCCTCCCTTGTCTTGTAAATTACAGGGAAGTGTTCAGACACAAATCACAGTATCAGGATATCTGGATAGTACATTCTAATCGTTTTGGGAACATGCTATTTCTGGATCTTAATGAGAGTAAGTGGAATTGAGTTCTGCAGTAAGTAGACATTCATCTGTTTTTTTAATTAACAAAATCCTGCACCGTGAACAAAGTTTTCTGCTCTGAAGCAGCTGCTTAAAAGAAGGAAGAATGCCATTTATACCTTGTTATAGTGTATATTGAGCATGTGCAATTGTCTGGAATATTTTCTTTCTATGGTTGCGTTCCTTTACGATGATCTGGATTAGGATCAGTGATCCAAGATCTCTTCGATCATGGTACATGTACATGTACATCAAATATGTTCCTACTATTAATTCAGATCTTACTCTTTGGCTGTAAATTGATGGGAGAAACAGGGACAATATGAACCAAGAGAATTGAAGGTTATTATTCAGCCCTTACTAATTTTATTCTGTAAGGTGCATTGGATGCTTTTGCAAGGTGCAGGGTAAGCTGCTGATAAAAATTATTGTAAACAGTCTAATAAACGCCAGGGGCATCTATTTAATTTTTTGAGCCTAAGCTGGGGTATTCAATACATGTAGATAGGAGGCATTTAAAAAATAGAAGAAGTTGTTCTAATAATTATAGAAAAAATCTCAAAAATAATTTGCTTTGAAAACTATTTTACAACAAACAGAATGAACTTCCACCTAACAACACTGTATGTAGTCCATCTATTGATATGTTTAGGCCGTTTGGAGATCCATAACATTTTTTAAAGCTTGACTTCAATGTCAGAATCCTTTCTTTGAACTATTTCGCTATGTGCTAGTATTTTGGAGCAAGAGTGATCATTATGGTTAAAGAAATGTATCTTTCTTGTACTGTTTTTCCTATTTGTACCTTAACCTGTCCTTTGCCTTAAGTGACTGACGTTACTTGTCTTCACAGTGATAGCAGAAGGAGATATTGTTTACACAAAAGCACTGCTTGGAAATGGCAGAGAAAACTACAAAGATAAAGAAATACTCATTTTAGGAGGAGGAGATGGCGGGGTACTGCATGAGCTACTAAAGGAATCTCCAAAATTTGTCACCATGGTCGAGATATCCTTGAAAAACTGTTGCAAGTTAGAGGTGCATGCAAAAAGTTTAAGACAACATCTGACACGTAAATTATCATTGAGTTTTTATTTAAAATGAATACACTCAAACACCTCGATGTTAATTAAAACAGGGGTTATATATTTAGTTAAAAAGGACATCCAAACACTAAAGGCCGGTTATTTAAGCGGAGTTTAACGAGTGTTTAACTACACCCTTGCCCATGTTTCCACTTATGAACTGAAATCCAAGCTAATAAAACAAAAAAAAAATGCGGGTCAATTTAGGTTTCTAGAAAACTGACCACCTACCCCTCCCCTAAGTCAACATTACAATGAACACTTACTTCTCACTTAGGGCAAAATGTTGGGTCAGGGGAGGGTTAGGTAGGCAGTTTCCCAGAAATCTAAATTGATCCAAAAAATTAATGCCTTAGAAGTTCAGACCACGTTAGAGACTTATAGTCGAATTGAACACATACCTCACAATTTTCGAAATGGTCAGTCTTTATACTGTGGGAAAGTTACTTTGTAATCTCATAAATAAATGTATCAAGATCCTCGTAGTTAAGGTCGCAGGTTGTAGACCCAATGCAAAAATCGGCAGAGTAATTCATATTCTTTTGTTCATATTCAAATTAGCCTTTAAAAAAAGAATACCTTGTCTCAAGCGAGGCTAGTCAGGCTGATTTTAATTTAAACAAAGAATATTAATCCAGCAGCCATTTTGGCACTGGTCCATGCAGTTGCGAAAAGAAAGCCTGAAAAACTTCAGGCTGTCCGGGATTCAAACCCTGACTTCTGTGATACTGACTGGTGCAGCGTTCTAACCAACTGAGCTAGCAAGAGAACTGAATAATATACCCAGGAAAGGTGAAGATGAAATAGTGAATATTAAATCAAAATATTAAGTGTTTAAGGATCTCAGTCGAGAAAGTACCATTTTTTGCTAACAAAATGTTTAATTCTTGCCGACAATTACCGATTAACTCGTGTTCCTGATTTCCCTTAACGTGCCATTACATAGATAAAATTGTTGTCGAAGCTTCAGCGAAGCACTTGCGAGGGGTTTGCGGTGACACTTTAGATTCGTATACAGGAACTAACTATGAAGTGAGTATTAACTAAACTTACTGAATTTAAAGTGTCTTTGATCTAGTGTTGTAAAGCTGCAGTAAAAACCAACTGGCCAATTAACAGAAAAAAAAACCATTAAGAGAAAGTATAAATAACACAGCAAAATACAAAAGGAGGCGCGATAGAACAAACTTGAAGAAGATTGAAACGGATTGCAATTGTGGTTTTTGAAAACTTGTTAGCCTAACAGTTTTTCAAAGTTCAGTTTTTTGTTGTTTGTAACGATTGATATAATTCTTGGGAGGCATATTTGTTTGGCGTGAAGCTGTGATTTTAAGCAAACAAGGACGTTTAGTTGATGACAGACCCTTTACTGAAGTGGTACTCAAAGTACCAGTGAAAACTGCGTACCGTTACACGGGATCAAAGAAAACCAAAACATGGGAATAGATGTATCTATTAACCGGATTTTTTAATGAACGTTACCGCCAAATAGACCGCTTCCGTCAAGCAGTTTTTCTTCAAAGTTTTTTTTTTTCTCCAAAGTAGCTCAGTCATAGCTAGTGAGAGAAGCGTACATTAACGTGAATATTCGTGGGAACGATGAAGTTTCGTATAAAGGATGTTATATTATTAAACTAGTAATAACCAAAGGCTAGGAAGTGCGGGCGACAACGATAGGAGGTCCAAACGTTTTTGCTCCATATGCGTAATAACAACCTGCCGATTATGACTGCAGGCTCCTCTTGGACATCGCCCGCAATAACTAGTAGTAATCATAGATCAATGTATGCGTTCACGTTTTCTTCGATTTACCATGAAACATTATCGTGCAGAAATGGTCACCTTACAGTGTAATCACCCTGAAAGGAAATCAATACAGTGTACCACAGGATTGCCAAGAAAAGGAATTGCGTTCTCCTAACGTCCAACGCAAATAGCGAAGGTGCCTCGCGTTTGTGTAACGTAGAGCATTCAAGAGCTCTCTCACAAACCTCGTTTGACTTTGAGCTCACAAAACAATCTTATACTACTTATGATACAGGTCAGGATTGATGATTGTATAAAGGCACTTAAGGAGTACGTGGAACTGGGAAAGACATTTGATTATGTGATCAATGATCTTACAGACATACCAATAAATGTCTCTTTACAAGGTGAGTGCAACATTTAAGCCACACAGGAACGCATTTGAACCAAACGCTTTCAAACAGGCCATATTTGGTTTTCGGTGAGTGGAGAAGCTATAGGGAATGGGGCATTTTAGCCCGCGAACAAGCTCTAGTCAGAATGCTGCTCAACACCTGTTTAAGTGCAACTTTATTCTAAATCTCTACTTTTAGCGCTTTTCTGTACATCTCTAGAACGGCTCGACAGAATTGTTTTTAGACCTCATTACATAATCTTCACGATGTATATATTAATGTCTGTACCTTTCATTAAGATTGATTCAAATCCGCGTTTTTACTTTATGCTAATTTTTCCAAATTAATGCGCACCATATATACCTCCATGACTAGTACGTTTCAGTTTGAATTTTATTGCATCTTTTGAATGTAAAACATTGACAATATTCACACTGAAATAAACAAGTCATGGAGGAATGTATGGTGCGCATTAATTTGGAAAAAGTTAGCATAAAGTCAAAACACAGATTCATTTTCGCGCTGAAGGCGCGCATCTCCATCGTGAAAGCCAGTCGCTTAAAAAAATAATTCATCAACAGTTCCGTTGTCATTGTTGTTGTTGTTGTTGCTGTTTTTGTACGTTTGACAGAAAGTTCAGAGCATGAACCAATCGTCATGTGCAGGGGCGTAGCTAAGACTTTTCAAAGAGGGAGGGGGAAATGTAACATTGTGACACACCCAGGGTACTCATCGTATCGTCTTCTCGACGTCTTTGCAGTGTTTTTAGAAAAGTGACATTTTTTCGGATGAGCAGCGAGCGTGAGAGGAGGGAAAAGCCTACGGGATAGCTGCATAGACGACTTTCGGAGCGAGAAGAACCGAATATGTTGTTTATACAAGGATGCTGACGAAAATACTTTGATACGAAAAAATATTCAACAAAGTTAGCCTTCAAACGATGGTTTCTGCGAAAGGGATACCCCTTCTGACAACAGAAAGGGTAAGGGGGTAAAGGGCTCCGAAGCCACGCCCCTGACCTATCAATTAAAGTCAATTATCATTCGACGCAAATATATCTTCCTTTTCATTGGCCGAGAGCCCACCACATGACCTGCAAATAACTGCCTACAGATAATGGTCTGCTCATGCGCAATGTCGTCCAACTCTGTGTGACTGCAAGTCATACTCTGCTCATACGTAAATAAAACCACACTTTTCTCTCTCTTGCTATCGCTGTTGCGTGAAAATGGCAGATCGCTTCACAAGTAATCAAAAACAAACTCGATGATCAACTATTTGCCTCGGCCTTCTGCTGCTAAATTCTTAGAAATAATATCCCATCAAGGCGTCTGGGATATATTCTTGCACTTTGTACTTTCCCGTACAGGGGCACTTGTCCCTAATCTCTACCACGATGTGCAAAAAAACACACGTGTTTTTGCCGATATTTGCCAAGGAGAACAGGATGAATGAAGATTAATATTCAAAGCGCGACTGTAGATTGTGTTTTTTTAACCTATCACAGTCGACCTGAACGCTCTTCAAAGCACAAGTCATATCAAATATGCGCTTGAAATTAACCCCAATTATTTATTTTTGGAGCATGTCACGAACTTTCGGGTCAGCAAAAACAACACCAATAACAATCTAGACTACAGTCGAAGTTCTCCTTGCGACCACTCTCGTAAACGACCAGCTCTAGCTAGTTACCACCACCTTTGTGAAACCCCGTTTGAACTGTGACTTCAACTTATAATGAAAAGCTCTAGTAAGTGACCGCGACCACTTTTGGTATTAGCCAACTGGACTTTTCCTTTGTTTTTAAGCTCTCGCAAGCAACCGCGCAGATTTTTATTCATATAAATCAAAACTTTAATGAAACTGCACACTAAGCTAATGGTTCTAATGCTGTGATTTGGGTTTATTTTGGTCTAAAAATTTGGACGTAAAGTTTAACCTTGTCTATATCAGATATAAAGACACTCATTAAACCTTTCAAAAATTTTCCTTTGTTTTTTCCTTTATGGATATTTTGAGTTTTTGAAGCTCTCGTAAGCGACCAACCCCTATTGTTTTAACTTGCCGTCGCTTACGAGAGCTCATTCTCGTAAGCGATTAGCTCTAATTACGAACACTTTTTAGAATTTCTGAGGTGGTCACTTACGAGAGCTTCGACTGCATTATCAACAGACATCGCGTAGATAGGTAACATAAAGAACTTAAATAAGACAGATAAAAAAAAAGTTTAAAAGTGTCACAGCAGTCTTGACTTTTCCTTTTCGTTTTCTCTCCTCTTCTTTCATTAGTAGGCTTCATTTTGGTGGGAAATGTTTAGCAAAAGGTTTTGAAGTTTATGAAGGGAAATCTAGGTGGGTAGTGAAACAAGATTTTCATGAAAAAAACTTTCTTACAATTTCTTTTAGATTCTAACTGGGATTTTGTTCGGGAAATATCAAACCTGGCACTTCAAGTCTTAGAACCAGGAGGAAAATTTTACTCCCAGGTAAGATGGAATACCAGATAACAATAGTTTGCTCAATGTCGCTCACCCTGCCATCAGCAGAGCCTTTATTTCGCTTGTTCGATTTTACCGTACTCGCGAAAGAATCTGCATGAATCGAGTGAGATCTTTCTTGAGCATGCGCGGCATGTTGCTAGGATACAGTTTCGAACCTAGGCCTAATAGCCCTGCGCATGGTATGACCATCAGTTATGACCATCAATAAACGGATGCTCTCACTCGAAAAACCAGTTTCACGAGAGAAAACGAGTTTGACCTAGTCCAGAAGTTTGGGCTGCAGCCAGTTCAAAGGCTTGACGCAATTAAGGACGAGCCTCCTTTTCTCTCCTCCTCGACCAAGAAGAAGACAAAAGTAGCCTCTGTTCGCAGGGTGAATGCCGCACTGTTGAGCTAAATCGTGCGTAGTGGACAGTCCATTTACTCTTAATAGTGGCCAGAGAAGAAAATTCGCAAAAAAAATTCTTGTTGTAAACTACAATATCCTGTGGACATTGATTTATCCTTTGCGGTGGATAGCGCTATGTACTATTTAAAAAACGAGCAGGAGTGTATTACAACTTGAGCCAGGTGCATATCATAATTGTGGGGTTAACTTTGTAACTGAATGTCATCCCATTTTAAAAAGGTATCATCCAATAATCTATTTTATTTTCGAAATTTGCAATTTTTAGACGATTAGATAGGGCCCATCGAGAACTTGTTTTTTTAAAAAATCCCAGCAAAAGGTTTGTCATATGCTAATAATGTTCATTAAGAAAAATCTATGTCCCTGTTTTCTCGCAGTGTAGTTCCAGAAAATATCCATACCCCCCTCCCCACACAGAGGGCTCTTTTGCCTTAGACCCCCACCCCCCTGGAATCTCCATTCCAGGGGGTGCTTGGAATTCCTGTAATTTTTCAGCTTGGTTTGATACCCTCTGGAAAGAATATTTGTGTCAAAAATGTTGTTGCACGATATTATAATTTTTCCTGGGATAAAATGAAAAAATCTATATTTTCATTCATGTTAGTATGGTGTCTAATAATCTCAAGGACGTTCTTTGTTAACAATCAGCTATAGAGGCGATGCCTTGCACAGACCACACGAATAATGTCATCTTCAAAAGAATCAGTTACATTCAAACTAAACACCACTTGAACTTTGGATAATTCGCGTCAGACAGATAGTACGTCTTAATTTGAAAATGGAACGGTCTTAATTTTGGATAGACAATCCGCCTGACTTTATCCATCTCTTTTTCCGTCAATTTTGACGCGTGAAAACGGTCAATGCGATCTCCGTCGGTTTCTTCCATTTAGTTTTGGCTGGCGTAGTCTTAAACTTGCAGGTACATATACTGAAACGCGTTTACATTTTGGATTTTCTAAGGGAAATCAGCCGTAATCTGGAACTATTAAGCTTTCAGAAATTGAACGGTTTGTAGGGGTATCTTATAAAACTACAACCCCTAGCGCGATACACGCGAGGACTGGCCTACTGTAGGTGATGCGTAGCTGAAATCGGTTAAACTCCGGCCTCGTTGTACGCCCCTTCCCCCCCCACCCCCCCCCTCTTTTGGGTTCGTTTTCTCCTTTCTTAACTGGCGAGGAAATGTGAGTTAACGGTAGTCTACATTGAACCGTTGGTAACGTACTGCTTTTTTCAGGGTACAAATGGTTCTATGTGCAAAAAGGAGATAGAACAATATGAAGACAACCTCAGGAACCTTTGCTTCCCAGTTGAGTTTAGAAGGGAATTTGCTTTTGTTCCATCGTTCCAGGAAAGGTATCCTTTGGAAACTTTGTCTCGTAGTAAAACAAACAATTTTTTCTTTTTCTTTACGTGGAAGGTTTATTCAATAGAGAGGAGAAGTGTGTCGTCAGCAACGAGAACAACAAAAAAGCAATAGGTATATATTAGCAAAACAACAACTTTGCACATGCATCATGCTTTTTCTACATTTCTTTGCCGTCGTTGCACGACTGCGACATGAAAATTACTAATTTCACGCGCCCGCTTTATGGAGTAGGTGAACACAACAAAAAAAACTTTAAAACTTAGATAAGGTCCTTTCAGATAAAAAAGACAAATAAAAAAGAAATTGAATAAGGTCGATGAAATTTGAAACCGTTCGAATTCACTTTTTAAGGGACGTTTTTGTTTTGTTGTCATCCAAAAATTTTGCTACGATAGCAACGTGACGTAACGAATTCTCCTCTCTATTAAAGCAGTTTGTTTGGTGGCATTTGATAAAAAGGTGCTTTTTGTTCGAGTTCCATAACCTTGCGAAACCGGCGTAGTCACGCTGTCCAATCAGAATGGGTCGGTGGCCAATCCAATTAGCCAATTGTGTAGCGGCCAAAGAAGGCGGGAAAAGTCATGTTTCCTAAATGACCACACTTTGGTTCTACTTCTGATTGGTCAAAAATATAGCTCGGCATTTATTAGCCAATCACAAGGCTGTCCTTTCTTTTCTTTTCTCTTTGCTTTTTGTCTTATATTCTGTTTCATCCTTGACACGGGTGTTTATCAGCTGGACTTTCTATGAAGTTTGGAGAAAGTAAACAGGAGCATGACTACAGTTAACAAACCAAAACACAATCTGGATGCAAATCTTTTAGATTACTTAGTTAGTGTCAATAGAACTGAATAGTTAAGCCTGGTTCACTATTGTGCGATAAGTATTTTTCTTACGCTGGGTCTTGCTTGATTATTATGCTAAGAGCTGTGCTTGTGCATTTGTCAAGCCGGTTCTCACTCGATTTTTGTTATGCTTAATCTCGTGCCCAGACCTGTTTTAGACGAAGAGATCTGGGTACGAGGTTTTGTTATGCTTGGACTTGGTTCCTATAGTTTTAATCCCGTTATACCAAACCTGTTCTCTATTGATTTTTCTGTCATATATACGTACTGTTGGGTCCAATTATCTTTCTTAGTGTGGCTGGCAGGATTCAGCGTGCGTGAGTGTTTTATCTTTTTTCTGCATACAAAAGCTAGTGTGAACAAGAAAGAATCTCTCTTGGTGTGGCTGTTTAGTATTAACTGGTAGTTAATAATTGTTACTCCAGATGTAGTATTTTTTTTAATGCATCACGATCATCATGTGGAACAGTTGTCCATGTTTGAACTTTTCAGTATCAGTGTTCTTCCATGCGAGATGGGCAAATGGCGGATACAACCGGAACAGGTAGAAAAAAATACTTACAAGCTAAAAAACCAAACATGCACACATGGCGTTCCCAAAGAACTTACTTGAAAAGCAGTACCTCACCCGTCTCCCCTATCCTCCCTTTCCTTCCCTTTTCTAATGGTTCGTCCCTAAGTTGCGCGCATAAATACAATTGTCAATTAAAATTTGTTACAGATTGACTTTATCTTACCACTCTTCACTTTATTTTCAGCTTTTGTGCATATTTTATACGTTTTATCAGGTGTGCTGTAGGGCCACTGAACTGCCCTTAAGGCAACATTGCTAAGTATAGTACTTGGCTATTTAAAACTGCTTAGCCTAATGAAATTTCATCACAGAAAATCCACCGGAAAATTCCACAGGGCGCAGAGGAGTTATTTGTGACCTTGGTTGTAGTTTAATTTTATGTTCCGCGAATCGCCTTCGTTTTACTGTAGAATCGAGCACAACGTCATGCGATCGTGTAACAAACCTGGTAAAATGTTATTCAGTGCTCCGGAAAACCGCTGAAGGAAATGACTGCGGGCGAATAACAGTGGCTAAGGTATTATAAAGTGAGTCTCTTTTTCTTCTCGGCACTCCGTGCCCTTCTCGGAAAGGTTCGCTTTCTCAATGCGTCGTCCGTCGGACGACGTTCGTTCCCACCGAGCATTGTATAATATTTTACCAGGTTTGTAACACGATCGCATGGCGGTTTGATCGGTCAAGTTCATATTCGACTCTTCATTAAACAGTAAACGAAGGCGATTCGAGCTATCAGCTGTACAATTTTAACTACAACGAAGGTCACAAATAACTCTTCTGCGCCCAGCGTTCTCAATGGTTTTCCCAGGCGAAATGGATCCTTTGAGATAGTCATTAACGATCGGATGTGGATAATTTCTTGTTTCACAATTACATCTTTTTTTGCCGTCTAAGGAAGGTTGTCAGGTTGATTAATTAGTGAGTATTTCCCTTGACCAATAAGAAAGAAAACTGAGGAGCAATTATTCGATTGTTGCTAGTAAACAGATATCTTTTCCTGAATTAGTGCATTGCTTTGTGCCATTTGCATTTTAGTAGTTTTCAGGCCTCCTTTCGGCCTCAGGATTGTCCACTCCCGGTGTCACATGTATTAAGCTACCCAAAACAACCAGAGCTCAGTGGAGTGAAAGTGAAGCGAAGAGAGAATTGCCCCCTTAACTGATTACACTAAAATCATTCATGCCAACTCTCTGGGATTATCGGGGAATCTCCCGGATACGACAACAATGTCCCGGTCTCCTGTACGGGTTACCAAATCTCCCAGATAAAATCGAGTTATGAGCTTTTCTGTGTTAAAATTTGGAATTTATCCCATTTTCTCCCAAAATTCGAATTTTCTTTGATTCAAAATTCGGTTTCTGGTTCATTTTCGCATGTCTTTCATCACTGGCAAGAGTTATTTCGTCAGTTATTTCGCTATTACAATCATAAAAGCGAATTGTGATGGTCTGTACCTCATGTAAGACTTCATATAATGTCCTAAGCCGATTAGAGACTGGATCGAATTGTGCTTATTGGGGGAGGTGTAATATAAAAGAAAGAGTCTCCAGATTTTAGATTTCCAGAGGTTGGCATCTCTGTAAATGTGGCTTCATGGATAAGCCTCTTCGGTGTAAAATATGGACGTTAAAGGGAATTCAATTACACTAGTACAGTAAAGGGACGGTCACGTGTTGAGCATTGCCCGGTGAAAAGTTCGTTGTGTGGTCTGAAGCCAAAACTAACTATTCTTGGCATGTGTCCTGAAGTGTATCACGCTAAAGCAGAGTTGGTACCCGTAATTATGAAACTTGTGAATGAAATTTCTTATAAAAGCACGCAACCACTGCCCCCTCCCCCGGGGGGGTATTCCCTAAAAAGGCCTATACGGGGAAGCTTCGCCCGAAAGGGGTAGGGTTTTCACTAGTTTAAGTATATGACAGGGTGGAGAAATATGTCATTTCGGTCTGTAAAAAGACCCAAAAAGGCTCACTGATGTATTT